CACCACCTCCGCCGCGCTCGACTAGTATAGCCAACGCGAAGTCGTTACCTCCATCACTGCCGCCGTTACATTTGCTTGCGGTTGATTCCCCTCCATCTGGTCCGCCCAAAATGGCTATTCCACGCCGGCCCATTGGGAAGCTGCCTGCAAACCCACCACCACTACCTCAGAAAGAGCCGCAGCAGCCAAACTCATCACAGATTCCCCCATCACCTTCGGAATCACTATCGAGTATTCTGTCGGCATATTCACGCTCGTCCGGCGAATCCCTTGTCAGGTCGCCTTACGAAGCTAGCGATAGTGTTCGTCAGTGTGAGGCAATCTCATCACCGAGCCACCAAGCTCCACCCGCCAACACCAACACTGGCACGTTTATCAGTCCCTCTACCCAGCAACAACAGCATCATTATCAGCAGCAACAGCAGCAACAATATGTTGCCCAGAAGCTGCCTGCCAACAACCATCGGCCACCCCCGCTACCCTCTAAGGACACTAAATATCACCTTCCAGCCACGCCTGCCCCTGTTCGAAAACCTGTTCCAGAGAACAAGCTGCCTGAACTGAACTCAGCGCAGTCGCCTTCTTCCCAGCAGCAACCTCAACCTCAGCTTTGGCGTCGTCGGTCGTCAAAGGCCGAGCGGAGCCTTGAGCTTCCCGACCTGAAGCTTGTTGCTAGCCACGGGTCGACTGCTGCAACGCAGCCAGTTGTCGCACAACCACATGTTCAACCGCAGCTTTCTTCAAGCGGACCTAAAATTTCCACAATACCAAACTGGCAGCCTGGGAGCACCAACCCCATAGCTCCTGCTGGCCAGGACTCCGAAACGTCGCCAGCCGCTGAGCAGTTGCCCGGCACCCCGACCATGGGGATCAATAGTTCCAAACTGAATCGTCTCAAAGGGAAACTTCATCTTCATCGAAGGGGAAAATCATCAGGTGACACGAGCAAGTCTCCTTCGACGCCACGACCTGGGGCAAATCGTCCCCCCACGCCTGAATATCAAAAGGAAGACATCAAGACTCCAGTTGTTGATTCTTTTATTTCGCCTTTGTCGCCCGCTTCATCACCGGAGCCCGCTGCACAGGTATCGCCAGAAATTCCAACTAACGTCACAAGTATATTTCCTCAAGCACAAACTCAAGAACACCTAAGAAGTACTGGTAGCATCACACGTAAGGCTGTGCAGGTCCCTAGACTACCAAGCCCTTCGGAGGACAAGCCGGTCTCTGCATCGCCGGAGGCGGCATCGTTACCACCTTCGGTCACCGATTCAAGGGGAAGTCGTGGATCCTCTGGCAGTGACACCGCTGTGCACCAAGTCCAGCCTCCTACAGAAATTTCAAACCGATTCCCGCCACGACATTCATCCGTAAGGTCGAATGCTCCTACACGACAGTTAGCGGTTGAACACGATCGGAGACTGGTGCCGTCCGAGTCTCAGGGACCTCTTTACAGAGGCAGAGATGGTACCCTTTATCCTGAGATGAAGGTACTGCAGGAACCCGACCCGCGCGCGGCCTACTTCCCCAAACAGTCCGAGTCACCTATACCGGAAGGTGCTATCTTCAACGCGCCGCCGCTGAAAAAGTCCCATTTCGATTGCTACCATGGTCATAAGACAATGAACCGCCGGACGAACAAATATTATCCATTGACTTGTCAAACGTGCGACAAGTCGGATGTTGAAGATAGATGGACTTGCAGTTTTTGCCATCTACGGATATGCGAGCACTGCGTCAAGAAGCTTAACAACAGTGGCAATGACCTGCGCCGGCTGGTCAGCCACCCACAACTCACACCATAATCGAACCCCCATGAGCGTTACGACGAAATTGTCTCTTAATATTCTTTCATCATTTACCATTTTATCTCATCGCCACATGAACCGCACTTATTCATGCCCTTTCCTTTGTTACGTATAGATTCTCCTCGCAGGTTTGATCCGAGTCACGCATTGCATGTATTATATACGAAAAGGCCATGTGAGGATAGGCCAGGAGGAAAACATAGACAGTATGGGATAATGTCGTTCATCGCGACCTGAACAATACCGCATTTGCGAGCAGCAGCATGTTTACGAGCTCAGGGAATAGTGGGAAGATGAGGACATATTGCCCATTTTTGATGGCATAATCTGGTGATATCGAAAAGGAAAAATGGACTCATGTTTGCTGCTTCGCTTGAGGCAATCTGATACTACGAATGTTAATGCGCTGACCTAGAAGGGACAGCTTGATTAGACTCTTATCAATGACGAAAAGATACCTTCGTACAAGTAATGAATCACCGAAGATACAGGCGTAGACCCAACCCGACAAGTTTTCAGACTGATATGAATGTGTAATGTTGATTTATGATCACGAGAGGAGGTCACAGGACTCGTGTGTGCACAGATTCAACTATGTGGACTGCTTCCTTATTCCCCCTGCCTCTGATGCCCTTATGCAAGAGCAGCATTCCTTGATATCCACGCTTAAGCCTTAAGGTAGGTAGGTTTAAGTTCAAATGGGGTTCTGTCAAATAAGTCGGCACGTGCCTTCAAGTTAACATCCACTGTACCTTAACGGCCTACCTACCTACCTTACCTAAGACAGCTTAACTTAGTAGAGGCTCACCGAGTCCGCTCCACTAGTGACCACCCGGGTCCTTCCATGGTTCAGGGTTGCCGTCCACTCACCGTGCCCCGGCTAACGGAAGCTCTCAGGGCGGACAGGTCCACTTTCTTACCGTATCGGTAGCCCAAGCGACCCTGATTTCCCCAAGCTTCATCACAATAAACATTCACTTAATAGCTACTATCAATCCCGAACCCGTTTAATCCGTCGTGCGCCAGATTGTGACGGATATCACTATGTCCACATTACAGCGCTCAAGATCACTTCGAAAACCCGCTTCTTCCACCACAACCACTGCCAATGCTAATGCGAACGCCCCAGACGGCTCACCGAGTCGCCTCCCTGTGAAACCCTTGACTAGAAGTGCGACGACATCTAGCAATGCGAGAATATTGAGAAATGGGACAACTGCAGGACTCTCCAGGGCGACGTCTGTTCGACAGCCTGCTAAACCAGTAGCATCCGAGCCTGCGAAGAGGGAAACTCGATATCCCCCCTCAACTACGACTACAAGACCTCGACCAGCAGTGAGACCAACCTCGGCAGATGGCCCGTCTCAAACAACTAGAAAGGCACCTGCCCCTACGCATACACGCGCAAAGAGCACTGCTACTGGCTTGAGAAACGCGCCAGTCTTGAGACCTCCTTCTTCTGGTTCATCGGCTAGCAGCACTACTACCACAACAACTACCACTCGTCCAACTCGGTCGTCGACTACTTCGACCAACGAGAAGCTCCCGGGCGCCGCACCACGCCTTCGCCCGGCCTTCTCAACTCTCCAGCAACACTACTCACCAGCCAAGTCCTCTGCGCCCAAACCACTGACATCAACATTCCTCGCTCCGCCATCGCCGTCCAAACTTCCGGCCAATGTCGCTGCATCCGCTGAGACAAGCCGCTTACAAACCGAGCTTCTGCAACTTCATCTTTTGCATCGAGATGCACCGACCGTTGATGCTACCTGGAGAGCTAGTGCCCAGCGCAAACTTTGGGAGCGATTTTCAGAGCTTGCTAGAGCGAGCAAACAGATTGATGACCAAGAGAAGGCAGAGGTTGAGAGGGAGAACATCCTGGCACTCCGTAAGTGGGCTATGGGCGGTGGTCTGGAAGAGCGCATACAAATCCTAGATGCAGCCATAGCTGGCCTATGGGCGCTGGAGGAACCCGGCGGTCGCTATGCTAGGGTCGTAAGGCGATTTGAACGATGGGTTGATCGCATGTGCGAAATCGAAGAAGCGAGACGTGCAGGCGGAGCTCTCATCCAGGAGAACGACGTGCTATTTATTGGCGAGCTTGATTCTGCATGGAAGGACGAATGCGCTGGCTTGGTACGACGATTGGACACCATAAAGCGGCAGCTCGATCAATTGGGGGATTTTGCCCCTGATGATCAAGAGGGAGAATCCAAGGATCAATCCAGTCTGCATCGCATGGTAGAAGGGTCAAGGGAGCTTGTTCAGGGCATGCTGACTGAATTGGCTGTCATGGACGATATTGAGCGAGATGCGCTTGCGCGTGAAGATGAGTGGATTGAGAGAATGAACCGAGACGATGAAATGGAAGATACCCCTCCAAGAGCCGGAGCAGTTTGGAGAGCCGTGTAAGGCATTGTATAACTTTGCAATGCTCCGTGCGCGGGTTTGGACATCAGATGAACGACATATTACCTAGATCAGCGACATCACAGCAGATGATGCACTTTCTCCATGTTACATATAGACTCATTTTTTAATCATGTTTGGGACTGAGCTGCTCTAGCTATGTCAATTGGGCTCGAAACGAGAACATGACCAGCAGAATAGGCTCTCTATCTCTTGTGCGTATTGGCATATATCGACCGGATATCGAGTTAAAACGGAAATTGGTAAATCGACCACAATTCTTTCAAACACCTTCTTCTCTAGCTCGAAACCATGGTATTGAATTTTCTTTTTTGGATTCATTTGATCTTTTTTTTTTCCTTTCTTTTTTGGGTGTGATTTTCGTTGTGATAAAATCTGGAAAATCCCGGGCCTCCAAACAAACGCCTCTAAATGATGCCCACGCAAAAACGAGTATCATCATCGGGATATAGCAGTCATAAATGGTACTTAGGGGTTCATCGCTCAGGGCCGGTTGCGATATAGCATTGCCGTTTATATCCTTGCCGACTCGGAGATTTGATGCGTCTTGTAGTGTTTTCAGTCCTCCCAATATCGTGAGGGGCGTTAAAAGGAGTGATGGATTGGAAGCTGAACATCCAGCTCCTCTGCGATTTTCGTACGATGCCAGACTCCATCTAGTGCGGCAGCACGTTGACGTCGTTTGCATGCTATGGTGAGTCAGGCTAAAGCTCAAATACTGGATAGAGGTGCTTTTTATTAAAGCTAGCTTGGGTGATGGTATCATAGGAAAGCCCTTCGCGGAAAGCTGACGCCCTCGACAGCAGGCTCGTCGACGAACCAACTGCAGCGCTCGCCAGTGCCCTCATTGACAAGAGTGCAAGGCAGACCACGGTCGGTATCGAAGATCTGCTTCATGATCTCCTTCTTGCCGCCGCCAGTAGCGACGAACGCGACACGAACGGAGTGGTTGACGACTGGAAGAGTGAGGGTGATGCGCTTGGGGGGAGGCTTGGGGGAGTCTTCAATGGGGGCAACCCAGGCGTCGACTTCACGGAGCAGTTCATGGCCAGGGAAAAGAGAGCAAGTGTGTCCGTCGGGACCGCAGCCGAGGAGGAGGAGGTCGAAGATAGGCAGACGGACCGAGTCGCGGCTGGCAAAGCTGGCAACGAGTGTCTTCTCGTACTGGTCGGCAAGCTCTTGCAAGTCGTTCAAGTGTTCTGTGTCGATGGGGTGCACGGTGGGCTTCTGGTCCTCGGGGATCTTATCCAGAAGTTCCTTCTTGAGGAGGGCGTAGTTGGAGTCTTCGTGGTCGAGGGGCACAGCGCGCTCATCCGCAAAGAAAATTTCCCAGCGCTTGAAATCGACGACATCGTTGGGGCCCGAAGAGGGGGCCAGGAGGGCTTGGGCGAGCGTCCTGGGGAGCGAACCACCAGATACACCCACTTTGAAAGCGCCGTGCCGGGCGATACCGGCAGCTTGGCTCTGGATGACATACGAACGCAACGCCGGGGCGAGAGCGTCAACGTTGCGAAATGCGAAGAGGTTTGGTTGTGTTTTACCCATGGTGACGTTTATGGTGCGGGTTTTGGAGCTTGCGGTGAGCTGTGACGATGTGGGAGAGGTAGATGAAAAATGACGGCGGGGAACAAGGAGAGACGAAGAAAGGACGAGGTGCGTGGTTTTCCTGCAGCTCTGATTGATCCTTGACACGCGTGAAAGAGGATGTAAGTGTGTCGAGGGTACAAGGTAAGGTAGGCAGGGCGAGGCAATCGACTCAGATAAATTATCAGGATGTTGTTTAAACGTTGTGGGATAATTTGATAATGCTGTAGGTATCGTCTTAAGGTATAGGTAGTCTACCTAGAGGCTACAACCTAAGAGGCGGGGTTCCATGGAAGTCACAGTGGGCCTTTTTTCTCTCTCTAGAGTCTACCTAAGGTAGTTTCTGGTAGGCACGGTAGTATTGGGTACCTACTTCGTCATCGCATCCCATCGCAGTGGAGTGGATCAAATTCCCGTCGGTATATAAATGTCGACCTACCTTAGACATGGATGGAGTAAGAGCATTTTGAGACGGAGAAGGGCCCATCCTACGAGTACCTTAGGGAAGTAACTTATTACTTGCCTGACCATCGGTAGGTAGGAGGCTTGGGAGGAGCGAAATGGTCTCACAATGGCTTTCTTGGTACCTCGAAAGCTTCGATCTCAGTGGGAGCTTAGGTACAGTTAGATCAGTTTCCGCTACTGAAGACGATGTGATGAGCGCAGTGGCGTGCTAGACACCCGCCAGTAGGGTACTGTGTGTAATTAGTTAATTAATTACCTTAGGTAGGCTAGTCAATTACCTAGGCTTTTACTTTCTGACACTGGCATATCTGAATCGTGTATGGCTGGTTTCTGTTTCTAGATAATGCAGGTCAACCACGGGGCACTTTAGCCGCGTGGTGTCCCGTTGAGAAAGGGAAGCTTATCGGATTGCCGTTTTTTCCCAGTAATCGTCAAGGTTATAAGACTTGGCATGGGGATGAGCGAGGAAGACTAGTCCTCCTTATGGGATGATTGGACTTGAGTTTGGTGGTAGATCCCATCTAGGGATATTACCAATGATGAAGGCTGATGAGAAATCGTCACCCAAGTTGCTTGGGAATCTTAGAGAGAGATCTTTGAGCATATTACGGATAGTTAGATCTGACTTACAGCGGCTTGACGTGTGGTCTTGGTTGCTGACGTGCTGCTATTGAGCCCTACCTGGTTAACCTCCTAATCCTTGTCAAAAGCCATGAGAGCCAAGCAACCTATGTACTGTAAAGAGGGAACCAAAGTAGCATCATCATTACCAGGTGGTGACACAGCACTAGGCCAATAGGCAGCCAGACAGCTCCTTGACAGCTCCGAATTTTGTCGTTGGCTTCGATCGTTTTTACTAGATATGTGTTGAAGGATCAATCAATCACCTATCTATCCATGAATACCACAAAAGAGACACGGGGCCAATTTTGGTGGGCAAGGCGTCTGAACTCATGCAAGGAACAGACTGTATAAATGGCCAAATCTAACGTTTTCTTCTTCTTCTTCCATCCTCTGATAAGGATACCCAAGGTGCAGGGAGCTTTCCTGTGGCTTGGGGTAGGGTACTGTAGATAGGGTCAACAATGCGTTGACAAGCATGTGCTTGTCCGGTTCTGCGGAGCTTTTATTGACGGACGGGTGATTTCATGACGTATATCCGGCTAAGAGGGCACAGCGTTAAGTTAGGCAGGTTAGCTGTCTTGTCGGCGAGTTTAGGCGCGCCGCTAGCCCGTTTAGTTTCAATGGAAGCCTAGGTAAGCATTGTGGACGGTGGTGGTAAGCTCTTTATTAGCTCTTATCACATGAGGAAAGGAGAGAGGGAGGTTGTCAACTTATAACGACTTCACTGTTCGATCACCTTGGAGCAGAGTATTCATGGGTGAAAAGAGGCGGGCCAGTCTTTTATCCAGTATTTACCATATTTGGCCGTTCGACATAATTGTTCCCCTGAAGTGCTTTCTATTCAGTGTGCATTTCTGTGGCTGTCCGGGTGCATGTGTACCAGTAAGTCGCTCCCTATCCGTAGATATGAGCCCCCTCCATCATGACTGGCCAGGCTGGCCAGCCCTGGCAGAATTTTCCAGGGCAGATGCCGGCTGCTTGCGCCCTTGTCCATCTGGTCCCTGGTCTGCCCCTCCAATCGACCCCTCCAAGATTCTGACCCCTCTAGCCCCTCCATTTATGCAATTCTCAGGTGAATGATGAGGTATCCATGTGGGAAATGGACGTCTCTAGAAGCCTCCAACAGCTTCATTTTCCGTAATTCTCAGGTCATTCGTGAATACCAGAATCTCATCGAGGAGCATCCGCGCAAATGATATATTCCGAATCGCCTGATCTCGCATCCGAACGATAGCCCATGCTGTCGAAGAAACATTTCGGGACCTCCTCAACTGAGGGGCAATAACAAAGTCTCTCACGATCGTGTAAGAGACGGTTAGTGTAATGTGCTTGTCCCTACTACACTCTCATGCATGCAGGGCATAGTAGGCTCATTGGCACTCGAATCGACGTCGACTTAAGACATGGGGCTCGTCAAGTCGGCATCCGAGAATGATGACATTGAGATCGATCGCAGAAACAATATTCTTTATTTTTACAGACTTGACTGGGAAGCAGTTTTGGGAAACGGTCAAGCCACTTGACCTGCTGCATGCCTAGGTATGCAGCACAAAAGTACAAGAATATTGTTTCTGCGATTGACCTCGAATTTGTCTGAGAGGTGCGATTGGTTGCTGCTCTTAGCCATTTGACGCCCAAAGAGACCGGCCCGGCGAAGCAAGCTGGCTCATGGAAGAAAAGAGCTTGATGAAGGAAATAAGAAGAAGAAGGGGGGGGAACGACATGATTTCGGTTAGTCAATCCGAGAATCGAGTTCCCTACCTACGTAATGATCACACCAGTTTGGATCTGGAGGACCCTGACATTATGGCTCCCTTGACGATATCGAAGCTCAAGCCTTTTCGTATTTGACAGCTGCGAGCCCAGTCAGTCTCGCAAACGTGGGAGGGGTGTGGAGGGGGACTTTAGCCCACCTGTGGGACGTTCTGGGATTTCGTCCCCCCCCCCTTTTACTCAGTTTTGGGCGTTTGTTACTGTAAAAATTGCATTGGCGGCTTGAAACGGCACCTGATGGATGGACCCTGGCGATCAAATCATCAACGGACGTGACTTTCTCTGCTGAGTCGTGATGGATCACACCGCACGCACACCTGGATTCTCAGTTGCACTTTATTCTCGTGTGACCCCGGAACCTTCGCTCCGACATATAACACCAACCAACGTCAGTAGCCAACCTTTTGGTTTGGCAGCTGTAAATTGCCAAGCCTGTTTTCTTTGTTTTGGGGGCCTTGCCTTGCCTTGCCTAGGTACCTAGGTACCTCCCATTGGAAAGAATTACCCTGTTTTTATCTTGGGCGAAAATATCAAGCAACATTCAGGGTCTTTCTTGATGGGAAATCAGAATCATCCCGGACTGCCCTACCAAAAAGCCTCCCGTTGCAGAAGACGACTAATATAAACGGATAGCGAATCACCGCGCTTCCCCAAGTTATTTCTCCCTTTCTCGATTCCTTAGCTCCCCGATCCTTGTCCGGTAACGAAACGACTGCCATCGTCACTTCTAGACTTGTCTTTCTTTCTATGCCTCCTCCTCACCTCTTATATGACTGCGATCTCTGCGGATTGAGGCCAGAGCTGAACTCTGCTCTACACCGAGGGTCCCGCATTCAATTCTTGGCCTAAACCCATTAGTTCAACTTTTCTCTTATTTTACTCCTCTTTACCGAAGTCCACTCTTGTGTCAACTTACACAACTCGCTGAAGAGACCGGCTTGTCATCTCCTCGGACAATATTGATCTTGACATGGACCCAGCAGCCCGGAACGAGCAGCTGCTTGACCGGCGATCACAGCTCACAGAAGGACTTTCTAGCCTACCCTATGACTTGATACTCTACCTCAACCGTGCCGCTATCCACTCGGATCTAGGATATCCGGACCTTGCAGCCGGTGATGCATATCGTGCACTGTTACTAGCCGATGAGGTTCTCAATGAGGGCTTCGAATATCACGAGCAGGCCCTCGAGTCTTTGCAGATGCATACAGCAGTCCCCCTACCTGATGTTCTAGCACATGGGAATCTTCCCCAAGATGAGCTACAGAGCCCCGAGACTGACCTGAGAGTCGAAGATGAGGCAGTCAAACGATTGGCCATATTGGCCCAAGTTCGTGCATATCAGATCCTTTCTTTAGGCCTGTTACTCTGTGGATCGCTACAGAGTGCTGCCAGTTTCTGCCAGCGCGGTCTCCAGCTCTCACCCTCTAATCAAGAACTACTCGACACAAAGAACAACATTGTCACTGTCGCCCGCAGAAGGCTCCGCCGTGATGATATCGATATTGATTACCCCAATCTCCCCGATCAAGGTCTCGTCCGTCGCGAGGTCTACCCCTGGAATGACCACGAGCCTGATCGTTTCGCTCCGGAATCACTGGCTGAACTCAACGAGCGTTTGAGCTCCATGGCACCAAAGTGCGTTGTCGAGGTTGCGACCTTACCTGTCCTGTTAGAAGGAGCGAGCAGCACCGATGACTATGAAATTATTCCAACATGCAAGCAGCTTGGAGTCTTCGCCAAGGAGGACATTGCCCCCGGCGAGGTTGTGCTGAAGGAATACTCACTTCTCACGGCGAATAATCGCCTGAAGGACTCTATTTGTGACGCGTGCAGTTCTGATCTGCCACCACTAGGCAGCGAGAACGAGCCCGTCAGCTGCCCTGAATGCTACGATACGGTGTTCTGCACTCAGTATTGCTTTGAGCAAGCCATGGAGAGATATCATCCAGCGGTTTGTGAGAAGGATGTCGATGCAATCGCCAAGGATCCTGATGCATTTGAAGCGGACCAAACGCTTTACCTTTTGCTGCTTTCTCGTGTCCTGGCTATTGCTGCTCACGAGGAGGTTAATCCTCTTGATGTTCGAGAGGTCAAGTATATATGGGGTGACTTTGTTCCGACTCGGACCAACGACATCAACGTCTCACCGAATGCCGGCCCGCCTCCTGAGTGGACACTGCCCTTTTCTTTCAAATACAATATCGAAACACCGCTCCACGTTTTGGAAAAGATGGATATTGATGTATACTCTTTGCTCGCTGAGAACGATCTATGGGTTCTCAACACGCTATACGCCAAGTTCAGGGGCACTGCTTCGGCCCGTAAAAGCCTTCGGGATGGCCGCCCTGATGTCGCCGCAGTGCACCCATATTGGTGTCTCGCGAACCATGATTGCGACCCCAACGTCACATGGGAATGGGGTGGCCGCATGGTTCTGGAAGCCAGAAAGGAGCGTGTTGTGGGTGGGCGTCCGGGAGGTATAAAGAAGGGTGAGGAGATTCTCAACCATTATTGCGACGTCAATTTGCCCGTGCAACAACGCCGGGAATGGGCAAGGGGTAGTCTAGGCGGCTGGTGTATGTGCAAACGGTGCCGCGATGAGGCTGCCAAGGGTGAAGCAAATCATGTTTGAGAACTTCATGCTGGGAATTGGGATTTTATGAAGCACGGAGTGGGGGTTCCTACCTTTCAGGGATAGGGAGGTCTAGATAAAATGGGTGGATCGATCATAGTAAGTATGTGCTTTGGATTAGTAGGCAAGTGAAGAACAGAAAGTCTCAAGATACCACAATATACGAAAGGTTCTTATCATACCAAAACTAAAGCCTAGCAACCGCCTCTCCTTTTCATCAAGGCGCTAATGATACTGACTAGATAGCCATGGATATGTCTGGGACATGGATATGATTAAACCAATGTCCACCATTGAACATAAGCATTCGTTGAAATAGTTTGAATTTTATAGAGGCCATCACAATCGATCAAAATTTGAAAGACCTGTGCTTCGTTGCTAGAACTGCAAAACAATCGCTTCTATTTCTAGGCCGACACCTTACCTTGGTTGCTCAGGAAGCGGCCGAGGTCCTACGATCTGTCTTCGACCAGCTCCGATGCCCACTGACCCCTTATTCTGGCTGTCACCACCTGTATAGCCAGCCCATTGCCCAACATCCCACCGGCCACCGATGCCACCGCCGATTCCGTCTACACCTTCATTGGAGCGCACTGCCGCAGCAGTCTCTTTCTGTGCCTCTTCCCACTCTCGCTGCCGTTGGCGTTCCATCTCCATCTCTCGTTCCAGAAGTGACTTAGAAGCCCATCCGCCTGCCTTAGTTTTATTCTGGCTCTGGGCACGGCGCTGGTCTTCGGCATCACGCTCAGCTGTGGCACCCAGCTCGCGTGAATAAGTTGCCTGGGCTGCAGGTGGTGAAGGGGCTGGATTACTTGATAGAAAGCGGTCGGTACGGCTGGGAGCGGCGGGCGTAGGCTTCGGGGAGTATGTGGCGGGATCCGGGAGGGGCCGGCTGCTCGTGTTCTGTGACTTGGCCTGTGGAAGGGCAGTCGGATCAGGTAAGGGGCGAGGTGACCTTGAGGGCAATGCAGGACCGTTGTTTGTTTGAAGGGGTTCCCTGTTGAAAGGAGACCGAGTCCTCAGAACTTCTCGCTCGTCTTTAGACCATGAGTCAGAACGTGTTGGAGGACTGGACACCAGCTTGGGCTTTGGCTTAGGAGTTGGCTTTGTCTCTATGCTTCCTTGACGTTGAGCTCTCTCTTGACGCTCTCGCTCATACTCGGCTTCTCGTTGTCGAGCGAGCTCCAACTCTTGCTCCAACTGCTTCACCCGATTTTTGTATTCATCGTCGGAAGCACCGTCTTGTTGTGATGCTCCTTGGTCGGCTCGATACTGACTCAGGAATTGCCCAGTCAGCTTGGAATCACCACGACTCTTCACGCTTTTACGTTCTTCGGCAAGTCGGGCTTCGGCGTCTTCCTCCTCCTTACGCCGTTTCTCCTCTGTCAGTTTCCATTGCCGTTCCTCCTCCTCCCATCTTCGTTTCTCTTCTTCGGCAGCTTGCCGCTCCTTTTCTCGGAGTTGTTCTGTTTCCTGCTCCCATCTGAGCTCTTCTTCAACCCGGGCGCGATCCTCCTCTTCAGCTCGCTGCCTCTCCTCTTCTTCCGCTTCACGGCGAGCGTGCTCTTCCTCCTCTTTTCGACGGCGCTCCTTCTCAGCGAGAGTCGGCACGCGGGGACCAGCATTGGTGATCTGTCGCCTACCACCAAACGATATACCGAGATTACCTTGGCTGGCGCCCCCTAAGTAACCATACTGTGCAATATTCCAAGCGGGTGCAGTAGTCCCTTCGTGCTCCTTTTTGCTCCAGCTGCTAACGGCGCCAGGAGACTCGGGCCCATTCTTCGGGGTAGGACTCTTGGTAGGACTCCACCGCCCAGATCCCGAATCGCCAGTTCGATGTGGTAGAGCAGCAGAGCGTCCGAAGGCAGGCGACTTGTTGCTCGTAACGGATGCGCCCCTGTCGCGTGTCCTGGTGGGTGTCCTTGAACCTGTTCCTTGTGGAGTAACCGTTTCAGGTCGATTTTTAGGTCCAATCGATGTGGGAAAGTTATGAGGATTAGCAGCATGGGCCGCTCTGCTGAATGCGCCGATACATTGCAGAACTTGCGCTGGGTCTTTCTGCTCAAAAAGATCGACGGTCAGGAATGTATCATGTTGGTGGAGGTTCAGTGGTGGAGATTGGCAGGCACGGAGAAATAGCGAGATATTCTCCATCTGTACAAAAGGCATGGCGGATTGCTTGAATCGAACCCCAGGAGGAGGTAGGGCGAGATTGGCGAGTCTGAACATTGTGTAAGTCCCGCATTCATGATCGGCAGACTTGAAGGCGACTTACTTGCATAGAGCAACTCCATCTTTTAGTCCTTCGAGGAGATCGGACGAAGGAAGGCTCTCTCCCAGAATGTCTTCGATCCATGAACGAGCTTCATTAGCAGCAGCTGGTGTGTATTTCTCAAGGCGCATCTTGCGCAAGTCTTTATCCAGCGACGACACGGACGCCATGATGACAGCTCGTAGATAAGTTCTCGAAATGACAACTCAATCACCGCGAGGAATAGGGAATTGGATTGGATTTGTATCTCGCCTAGTACGAGTTTAGATTCAAGTGTTTGCGCTGGTAAGCGACGTAGTCTACGGAGTAGAGAGTACGGTCCTGTCGCAAAAGTCGCACAGCTTCTTGAACGGAGGGAGGGGAAGGGTATCGATTCGCAATAAAACAAATGAAGCTGTCTCCAAGCAATTGTCTTGAAGGTCAACTCTCAGGATAGGAGTCAAGTGTTGATTGAGAAGAATAGGAAGAGAGAATAAGATGGTCCCGGGTATCCGAGGGTAGGTAAGTTTCCAAGGAATTAGGTAGTAGCTTGCACTCGAGCAGGCAAGATTGGGCGGCATGCACCTAACACCAGCATCCAGCCCACCCACCATGAAATGACGTGGACTGGGAGTTATGCGGTGGCTGGGGCGGGGTGGCTGGTGCATCATGAGAGTGGCTGTGTGTGTGTGTGTCATGGATTCGAGACTTCACCATCACATTTGCGCGCCCATATTCTTTTTGGTGACACCCAAGGTCACAAATTGAAACAAGAGAAGCCCATGGCCTCAAATCAGATTGGACCTGTTGCGCGGGCCTGGTACAAGTGGAAGGCTCTCCGCTTGCCATGGCGCAAGCGCTTCCTCGTGGGTTTGTTTTCAATCTTCCCTCCAACCACTCTCCTCCCACTTACATATCACCAGGTTACGACCTTCAGGGCAACACGTACTGGGAATTTCGACTCACGAGAGGCGCTGAGAGTAATGAGCGCTGGCGAAGAATTGTTAAATACCCGCGATCAACACACTACTCTTCTGTAAAGGTCAGCCCTCAATGGCACCAGTGGTTACGGCATACACGAGAGGAGCCTCCGAGTATCGAGGAACAACACAGCGATGTTCTGCGCCGGGTGAGGATGCAGAAACTTGCTGCTGAGGCGGATGCTCGGTGGGAGGCCAAGCCGCGAGTCATGGAGGCACCGCAGGCTGCGCCGGCACCATTGCTTTCACCGGCGACGGCTAGTCCTTTACAACAAGACGCCGAGAGTAGTGAGCAAACTGACACAGTCTCGAAAAAGATCAAAGAAGATGCTGAGAAGAAGGATGATCCTTGGGCCAAGGCAAAAGCTAGAGCACCAGGCGAGACATGGCAACCCACTTCTTGGAGTCCTACAGCAGCCAAGAAACGCTGAGCAATAGACCTTCAGTGAAGTACTGACTGGCCCAACAAGCCACGGTTGCCATACCAAATGTAACACCAATGTACCAGAGTCATGACAGGAGACGAGACAGATTCAACGGCAGGATCTTGGGTATCATCATTCATTACGGCATTATGTTCATGCACCGGGTAGTCTATAATATGTACAATACCACCAAAAAACCAATAAGAACCATCACCCCATTGACCGTCTCATGACCCCGCTTCCTGAGAAGCTTTTAAAACTTCCAAAAACAACCGAATTCTTTCACCTGAATTAGTCAGGATGTCTTGCGCGAGAGCGTCGGCTTCATCACCCTTGACCTTCCCTGTGCGCCGCTTCTTTGCTTTTGCTTCTCGAGCTTTGATGCCCATCTCAACAGCCTCTTCAAACTCTTCAGAATAGACCATTAGATCGCATGCCCAAAGAAGTTGCATAGCGTCTTCAACGACTAGGGATAATTTCGCGTTGTCTTCCAGGGCCACGGTATTCGCTGGATGAGGGGCAAAACACTCTTCTAACATTGGCAAGGTCAAACTTCCCTCCGCGTCACCTTCTGGGTCAACCTTTGAAGGATCTTTGTATGATGATGGTAGCAGTAGATCGAATAATTCTTTAGTGATAGTAATATGCGCTTCAGATAAAAGGGGATTTGGTCTTCGGCACGCAAAAAGAGTAAACATGGGGAGTGGGAGAAGTTTGAGGGAGGCAGTATACTCCTCATATAGACGATGAAGCTCGGAAGGCTTTCGGAGTGACCATGTCACCGCAGAAAGTAATCTGAACAGACGAAGGCGTATGTCGACAGACTCGACCAGCCCTTGAGAGTGTACACCCGCTGTGCCGAGTTTTCGTGTGTCCTTGGGCTTTTGGGGCGTTGGTGGTTCGGAAACTCCCGAAGAGATTGATTCATCATCAAAGTAGTCACCAAATTTGTCGTTCTCCAGGTCCAGCACCTGTTCCCGCTTTCGTTTCTTAGACGTCTTGCTCGGGCCTCTGGGTTCCTTATCAAAAACCTCGCGGAAAGCAGACGACGATATCTCGCCTCCGTCAGCAAATATGGCTTTGACAAATCCTTTAGCTCCATTTTGCCGCCCGTTTTGTTGATCCATGTACATTACAATGATAGATTCATTGCGTGATGTACGGGGTAGTTCGCTCTCTGGGCCATTGGCTAATTGCGACTCCTTGTCGCATCGCTCGCGCTCGTTCCAGTCGGCCTCCAAGACATCCAACATAAACTCTAGCCAGACTTTCCAGTATTGCCATCGCTTCGGATATAACGTGCTGCAGTTGAATGCCCAACCAAGGGTTGACCAAAAGTCTTGTCCACGGTTCCATATGCTACCATCGTTGGCAAGTTTGCCTCGAAGTCGATCATCGTCGCCATTTGAATCCGTGTCTGATATATCGCTCTCGTTTCCCTGTCCATATTGATCCCAGCGGCGACCCGAGCGTGGTGTAGAGCTGAATTGGAATGCTGTTCTGAGATCGGCATTAATGGGACCGGCAACTCGGAGAATATTGCGCAAATAGTCGAGAGCCTGCGAGGCAACGTCAAGCTGGTCTTTCTTCTCCGCACGGGTAGTGTGGAGAGGATGAACAACAAGTGTATTCAATAGAGCCAGATGGCTTGGAGGGGGAACAAGGACGTGCTTCTTGGAAGAAGTGTGCTTGGATATACCAGAGGCGGCAATGCTGTTGAGGAGATTTATCGCGGAGCCATCTAACCCGATGTAAGTATAAGTTACCATTGAGGGACGCGAGCGCCAGCATACACAGTTGTTCTTCGAGTAAAATCTGACAATGCGCCTTCAAGTCGCGGGGCAGTTGTCGCGCATCGCGATAGGGGCATGGGTTCTCATGAACGGGGCTACTGGCGGCCGTGGATTTATCAAGTGTAGAATTTTGCGCCGTCACAAAAGATGACGGCGACGAGAGAACCGAAGAGGACGAGGCTGTTGCCATTTCGCGTTTCGAGTCCAAGACATTCGTGAGTTGATAGGCGATGATTTAGTAGAACATGGGGAAGGGAAATAAGATGGATGAGCCGGTTGAAAAGGAAGCGAGCATCAATTTACATGGACGGGTTGAGATCGCGACGGGAAGCGCGACAAGCGCGTGCGCTATCAGAGGGACCTGCCGATTTGGAGGGCGGTACCTGAACTCAGAAGTCAGGGGGAATTCGCACTGGCCTGGCTGGTGACGCCATTGTCTGGAACGAATCCGCACTTCAGTTGTCTTGCCCTCAGGGAGTATAAACTCTTTAGACATCAAGGCAAACGAGAGTACCCAAATCAATTAGTCAGTTTGGTTTAAAGGTATTAAGAAGTAGAAAAGAGAAAGGAAAAAAAAGAGAAAGAAAAAACCAGGCCATCTCCCCAGGACTGCGTATGAGTATCGCAATCAGGCACCATGAACACAATGGGACTAAAAGTTGGAACTCCATTGTTCTTAGAACTAGAGAAAAAGATAGCTGACAAGACTGGGATTCGAACCCAGGCCCCTTTCGAGACTGCGAATCGTTACTAGTTCAAATCGAACCTGAACACAGCGCCTTAGACCGCTCGGCCATCTTGCCTTGACGAGATATTACCCAGAAAGTAATCAATTGCCAAGTTGAAGCGCGCCTGACACGAGCCTGCTTACAACACCAAGCTGCAAGCAAATATACTTACTCTTAAACTTATCAAGAGCTGCTAATACATTTATAAAGAAAAGGGTAACATATATATATACTTAAATTTTATTATTAAATTTTTGCTTTATTATAAGTTTTATATAAGTATTAAAATAAGCTCTTAGCTATAAGTCTTAACTATAAATAATATATCTAGATAATAACTTAAACGTTATATAACAATGCCTGACCAATTGCTATAGCGAAATGCTGATATTATAAGAACCTAAATCATGACTCCTCATGCTTCTAAAAGTCTAATTTATATCTTCCTTGAGGTATATAAAACAGGGACACAAGCCTCTCTCAAATCCGTTACTCAGTCTGTTCCTGGCTCTGAGCTCCTGAAAAGACGCCTTTTACTCGCCACCACAATGCCTAAGTTATTAGAAGAGGATCCGCGGCCTCCGTTTGGTTTCACGGAGGACTATTTCTCAGACAACATAGCAGATGAAGGTGCTTCGGCCCGCGACTCAGCCAAATACTGGAAAAACCGAGAGAAAATAGCGACTGCTACGAGGAAGGCAATCAAAAAAGAAATAACGAAAGCCATAGAAGAGGAACGACGAACCAAGAAAACCCTGAGAAAGTCTTTCGTAAGAGATTGCAAACAATTCAGAAAGAAAGAGAGACAGGGTCGATAGGAAGCCACCGTGCCACCCCTTGAAGAGATCAATACCGAAAGATTTGCAGGTTCAACTGTGTTACTCAAGTCGAGATGCCAAGCGCATCATCTAGCTACTGACGCGTGGCAAGACAAAAGCCTTGATGTTTTGACCCTGTGGACCGATGGGTCAGTCAATGCGTTCGATGGCGGAGCTGCAGTTGTCTTCATGGATAAGTCTTTGGGGTGGGAACAGGCTATCCCGAAAGAAATAGGCTGGCAAGTGAAGGGACACCACGGCCGGTCGGGAGATGTCGAGCTCATGGCCATCGCTGGAGCCCTTGAAGCAGCCATATTCATCGTTTCGCAGCAATCGAATTCTCATATACGCAGAGTTGCTATATTCTCTGACTCGGGAGCTGAGGCTATTCCACGGTGTTCAGAGATTTGGCACTTCCCAATACCACCTATTGACTCGTTAGTTCGACAACGGTCTCATGAACTGGTGCGATTAGGAGTAGCTTTATCTCTCATTTGGGTTCCGGGCCATAGTGGTATTGAAGGAAACCACCGAGCCCACAATATCGCTCACCGTATGGCAAAGCTTGATCGCCAGGACCTGTGCCAAGGCGTCGTATCTATACCTCGATCTACGGATGATATTGTGGATTTTGGTTTTCACCATGAGCCAGTTACCCCGATAAAGATTAATGCTTGGAGATGGCTCATCGGGATTATTACCGGCGCTCTTGGGGCTTTGGGAAATGGCTTGATGGGAAAGAGATAAGCTGGACTACGCATATGGCTATGTTGTTTCACCCTAGGTAGTTATCCATCAGTCTACCATCTCAGGAACTTTTGATGTTTCTTACATGTGCAGATTCGCTTTGAGATAAGAGGACCATGAGAAGTCGGTCGATTATTCTGTATTATTGAAGAAGCAATATTCCAGCACTACAGGAGATACAAAATGAAACAATACCATATTCTACCTATCAAACATTAACTTCCGAGACTCTTTGGTCTTTTTTCTGCTTCAGATCTGCTTGGACCAGAGCATGCTCAGTCTCAAATTTACTCAAATTTACGATCCAGGCTTTTCGCCTTGACACAGATGAGTGACACCAAGAAAGCGATGCAAGCAAGGAAAGCCAGTACCAGCCAGACGGTTCGGAGACCCTTAATATATCCATCGATGATAGTTTCCTTCATGAGTTGCATGCTAGAGGGGGACCTCTTGAGGATCTGTACCAACGCTGACGCATCTTTGGCCCATTCATTGGCTTCGGAAGCAAACTCCGGGCTTTTCTCGACCTCTTTGCGGAACTCGTTTTGAAAGGTGACGCCGCCGACAGCAACACCGATGCCTTGACCCAGAGATCGACAGAAGGCATAAAAGCTGGCAGCGAATGGTAAATCGGAATTGGAAGCTGAGGCTTGAGCAGCAAATGCTGGAGCTGAATAGAGGATACCGAGACCAAGACCCCCAGTAAGGTAGATGAGTATCAGTATGATCATCAAGCAGCAGCATCAGTCCCGTTCCAATGGGTACAAGAACCCATCCAGCCCATATGAAAGGCCTGTATGTCCCCGTCTGGGCGACCAGGAGCCCAACTATGACAGCAGCGGGTGCCACAGTCCCCGTGAATGGCATGACAGCAACGCCTGCAGTGATAGGTGATGATCCCCTGACCTCGTGGTATAATGGAACATTGTAAAGAAGACACCGTACCGTTATGCCGTGGATAACAGTAGCAAAGTATGCAGAGAGAGCCGTAAGGGAGGTGAATAGACTGGGTCGTAGAAGAGGATCGCATCTGGAGTATTTTCTGCAGAACTTGATGTGAAAACCAAAGGATATGAGTCCCATGATATCGAAGATAAGATGTATAACGGTTCTGGGGCGGCTCCAGTCATACACGATGCCACCTGTAAATGACCATAAGTAAGTAAGTAGTTACAGAGTTGACTATATCAGCATGGGCAACTTACCCCAACTCAACGGGATTAAGAAACTGGTCGAAGAACTAACAAAGATGATAGTCCCTATCAAATCGAATTCTCTGAGCTTGGCGTTGACTGAAGCTTCTTTCTTCGCTTAATGCGCATTGTGATGGGAATAGCGAGGTAGGCAATACCGCAAAATGGTAAATTAATCCAGAACAGCCAAGGCCAGGACACTTCTACGAGAGCACCACCGATCAAGGGACCAAAAAGCTTCCAATAGCCCAGTTGAGGGAGATAAGGCCTAACCATTTACCCCTCTCCCTGAGGCTCACAAGATCAGTGGCGATAACATATGTCAAAGCAAGGATACCGCCAGAGCCAAGGCCCTGAAAAGTCCGACCACCAAGTAGCACGGCAATATTCTTCGCCAGAGCAGCCATGATACTGCCAGCCACGAACACAGTGAGAGAAGCGAGCAGCGCAGACCGACGGCTAAATATATGAGATAGCGAGGCAACAGGGGGTTGGACGACGGTCGAGGCGAGGAGGAAACTGGTACCACACCAAAAGGCTTCGATAGCCGTAGCACCTACGTCTTCTGCAATTGTCTTTGAACATCTCATATTAGTGAGGAATCGTGTTAGGATTGAGTATCATGAGCTTACAGGCAATGCAACGCAAATAATTGTTGAGTCAAGAGCGATGATAAAGGTGACAAGACACAATGTACCAAAAGCCCCATAGAAGCGCCATCCCCGAGTTGAACTCGCAGGCAATTCATTCAGTTCCTTAAGTTGAAGGGGCGAGGGGCCTGAAGTGGACGAAGGATTGCCAATAGCACTCTCGGTTTCATTCTGCGTACGAGATCTTGATTCTGCCTCGATCACGTTTAGGGCACGGGCAGCTAGTACAGAGTCAGCAGGGGGGGAACTTGTGTTGTAGGCGAGAAGAACCTTTTGTCTTGTCATCGAAGTTTAGGTCACTATGAGGACCATTTCTAGGTAGATTATCAGCCATTCTGCGGAACTGAGGGAACGTGTTTACGGTTCTCGATTTGAATAAGGAGTAGAATGAAGCAAAGACCCGTTGGATTCATTACATAGTTAGAAGCTGATGCACAGGAATCAACCTATCTTATAACAACACCTAAACGCAAGCGCAGACGTATTTCACCGCTGACTTTAGGGTCATCAACATCTCGTCAGCCAGCCTCATAGCCCCAACTAGACATGCGCGAACAACCAACACATCCTCTCTAAGGCTGTTTAAAGGTTCCAAATATCGAGTCCAACAACCGAGGTGCCATAGGTTACTGTCTTGGGGGAACTACATTGACTTTTACAAGGATCCAGCGATTTGGTGACCTCCACTTCAGCTCAGCCCGAGGAGGAACTAGTGATTGCTAGCATCTATCAGAGCTCCAGCCACGGATATTTGGTTGAGCCTCATCGGATATCTCGGTCATGGAGGCGGCCGCCTTTCTGCCCTACTGGCGCCATCCCGCCGCTAATAGAGGCTATTCACAGATGGAATGCTTTAACAGCCAGTCAGAAGTGCTGGCATTGTTGCCTTGATCTATCCCGCCGAGATGTCGATATGGCTTACCGAAAGGGTTCGAAGCTCCTGACATTGCCGCGCCTGAAAAAGCTGTATATATCCAGCTTTCTGGAAGAAGCGCACAAAAGTTCATAGTCAGATGGAACACATCACGTCTATCGGTCTGACCTTTGATGAATCATGTTTCCTTATCGGATCTGGTTCGGACCCGAGCTTGATCTGTTTCAGCCCTATAGTTTCCAACCTCTGGATCTATCGATGTGCTAATTCATAAACAATCCTAGCGTTCTCTTCATCTCTATCGCGGGACATGCAATCTCGAGCCCGTTAGTCCTCGTGGCTTTGCGTCTGTCTCACATCGTCAAGGATAGACGGATTTCTTGGACGGTCAAAGATAAGCGGTTTTTTAAACTGAAAGGTACTTTTCTCACCGAACCTCTTTGTCAGACCATCATTGAGGCCACCAGGTCCGCTTACTGATCGAAGCCGGGCATACATATTTAGAACTTAGTAGAATGTTAATATCGTTTGCGATGTCTGTGATGTTAAGTTTCCAGGACTGGAATTAACAATTATAGTCACCAATTACTCGAAATTCACATATGAAATCGCAAACTGTTTTAAAAATGGGTGTCTGACAACCTCCATATGGGAATATATGTAAGCCTATGGCCCTAGTAATATCGGACCACTCAAGCACATCGTCATTAACCAGGGAAAGAAACAGCCTCTGCTTAGACAGGTGCTCACTAAGCTTCTTTCCTCAGTTCTTGCAGGTACAGTGTCTACTATGCGCTTGGTACAGAGGATAGAAACGTGTCGCTGTCCGTCTATGCTCAAAACCTCGTGGGTTCTTGGGTACCAATAATACCCCTATCTGATATGAAACTATGTAAGATTCAACAAGCGAGAAGGATGTATTTGATAAGGATAATCTCAAAAGATTCCTATCTTCAACAAGACCGTATGGTACTTAAATTGGTGCTCTTTAGGCATTTCTAGAATTCGCCAGCGTTCCCTAGCCGCGCGTATATTCTCAGTACAGCCAACCGTCGACCAACAGCATATAGTGTCATATACCGTATCGAGCACTCCTCTGGCGCGGCCAAGAAATGTCCTTCAGAATCAGGCTGCGTGGCTCAGGCTGACCTGTGAGTGCGGCTCAAACCGAACAGAAAAGTCGGCCATGGGGCTGTGTGCCACATTTTGAACCACGAATATCGATCATAGACGAATCATGAACCAGTGTACCGTCGTGTGACCTCGGTAATATCTGTTTCTCACCCAAATAGACCAATAATCAGCGGCACGCGGGCCGTACCGCTCGCTCAAAGGATATACAAAAAAGTACTTGCTCGAGACTTGATGTGCGTGATAAAGATGCACTGAGAGATGCAGATCCTCCTTCCCTTTCATTGGGCGATGAACACGTCGAGCATCGTGAGGGTGTTGGTCGGGTAACAAGAGATGGCAATGACTCCCTTTCTGGCTTCACCGGCTCGAGATTCGCAGATAGCCGGCCGCCCCAAGGGGCCATCTTGTCATGAAAGCGAGTCTGAGTTCATTGAGATGCACAAAACACATTGGTATTTGATATTCACCGCTCTTTGTCCTGTTGAATGCTTCATGCCTAGAGGCTGGTTATTTGCTGATTGTGATGATGGAAAAAGGCATCCACAGGAAGGCCTCAGCGGGGCTGTATTCATTGATGGATGGATGGGTGGATAGACAGCATAGCTGGCAATTCATCTTCTCAATCTCGACTGTCGTGTCAAAACTTTCTTCTCACCGTAAGATTCACAATGCTGCCCGAAATCTCTAAGGAGAAGAGAGGAGGGCCATGCACGGCCATCTGGCTGATGGAACCAAGACCCGACATCCATGGATGTTTTGTAAAAGCCTTCGCTGTCTGTCTCCTGATCACGAGAGGTGTCTGGGGGTCAAGTTAGAAGACCCATCTGTGTTCGGCGAACCTCTGGAGTGCAGGAAATAAGATGCCGACAGCCTTGCCTTGGTCTTTTCAAATTCGCGAGTCGACCTGGCTAAAGGTCCCTTGCAAAGTCCAGTACGATAGCTAACGATGCCATTGTTCGCGGAGGAGATCCTTTGCTAGCGAGTCTCCTGTCCTCGCAGGGGCTTGGGCGTCATCTTAACGCGTTATTGCCTGAGACCTTGAGCTTTGGGAAGGCTCAACTTGAAGCCGAATTGTGAATTGATTTTAGACCCCTTCCAACGACCATTTTTTGTAACCTATTGATCAGTTAAAAGGGAAATACCTCCTAACTAACGAGAGCCCGGGTATAATGGATGGTTCTTCAGGTGTAGCCAAATTAGGGATACCTCCACTACCAGAATGAGCATCCACTTTCAGTGCATTGGCATTACTGTTGTTAGAGACTTATTTAGAATCCATTTTCGATCCAATGCCCTCAGACAGGCTCGTAGGGGGAAGCCTCGTCTCGACCCTTGCTGTAATGTCTCCTTTGAATGGAAAAACAGGGTGTTAAGGCAACAAAACCCACTGCATTATCCAATGCTCACACCGGCACATTCTGCCCTGGCTTTGAGAGCCTTTTTTGGTTATAACAAGAGTTGGTCGGCATGGCTTGAGCAACATGCTGAATACCTGTTCAACGGAACACTGCTGCGTGCGCTTCAGACACGGGAAACGTTGGAGATTGCTCGAGATTCATACGAACCATCATTGGTCACTTGGTGGTTCCAAGTTACTCCAAATTCCAACTGGGGTAGATGGAAGCTCAAAGCGCTCTCCCGCTGCGCCATTTAGATTCCATGTTTAAACCATGAATGCCGTTGTTGGGACCCGACCGTCGACCCCTGGCTCGAGTTATAAGGATGGCAATCCCTTAATGGCAGTCTCTCGTATAAGGTGGCAAACTTCTCCCGGGCGAGCGAAGCAAAGCGAAGCAAAGCAAAGCATTCATTCATTCTTGCACTTGCTGAATCGATCTTTGTTGCGATGCGGGCAATTCGTCCATTTGACACTGCCAAATGAGACGAGCGTGCCCCCATCCAAACACTTTCTCTGGCGCGATGTCTCCTTCAACATCGTTGACGCCCAACAAGCAATCGGGATTGAGAGCCTCCTCATCTTCTGCAGTCCATGCGGCACGATTGACCTTTCGAAATGCCTGTAGGCAACGACACAATGTTCATTCTGATCTACCGCAAGTGCGATAATCTGAATTCAAGCCAGGCGGCAACAAGAGCAAATTGGCGACTGAAGGATCCGGGTTACGAGCTCGTTCGTCAGTCATCTGCGAATCGCGTTGTTAGGAAAGGACATGGGTCTGGTGTTTGACCATAAGATATCCGACAACATTAGATCATGAACGGAAGAAAACAAACTTGAAGTCAAGTTTCGATTGACGTTGGCTTTGTTAATCTTCGTTTTGAGGATATACAAATGGTTGTTGTCCGGATCAACGTCAGCGTCGTGAATGGCAGTGACCTCGAACTGCCTAAGAAAGGCGGTCTAGGATTACGCAGGAATGCCAGGGCACTTTACCGAATCGAATTAAAAGGACTCGCTGGCAAGGCTAGGAACTTTCAACTGACGGTAGATTGTTTCGCAGAGTCAGTGTATCGGGCGCCGGAAGCGCTGTTAGATGATATGTTTGCGGCATCTCGCAGTGTAATATCCGACGCGGTTGCACACCTACAATTATATCAATTATCGCCAAGGATACCGGCAGGCCTTTTGAACCTTGGTATCGCCAGCAGGACACTAGTAAGGACAACTGTGGAATACCAAGGAACGACAATGGCAATGGAGAAAGGCTTATTTGATGAATATTCGAGAGCTTCTACCCCATTGTTATTGGTGTCTTGGGTCGGGGCTCTCAGGCAACCAGCCACCTGTTGCCTCGTTTTCACTACCATGAAGAGCAGAAATGGGTCGCAGTCACAGTCGAAGCATCCATGCCCATTGTCGGGGATACCTTCAACCCTCAACCCCGAAACAGGCCAATGCATGCCCGTGTTCATCTGGTATCCAACTGCCTATCAATGCTTTTCAACTCAGCCATTCTGGTCCAACTCGGTTCTGCGCCATTGATGATTGATCTACACGGACCGAGAAGAGGGCCACGCTACTCCACAGCCAGACCAGACTCCAGCTTTCATCGGTTACAACCACATTGACTTCGTTGCTTTCAGATATGGGGTTTCTGTGGCGACGAGTTACACTTCGCAGAGTACCAAGATCTCACCGGCGAACTTGGCCCATTGCACCAAAGCCAATTGAACATGCAATCAATGGCTCTTTGAACACGGCTTTGCGCATATTTTCCACGTTGGCGGCCCAAGACTACAGTTCACCGCCTTGTCCCGCAAAACCATGTCAGTTGTCGCTCAGGTAGGTACTCTTTAATTTCCAGTACAACTGTAT